AATGGCACCCCACCCCATTTACCCCAGAATAAGACCTCTCTTGTGTTTCTGCACCGCGTTCATCTTTGGAATGGAACCGGGGGGCTTTAGGACCGTGCTGACCAAAATGATCCAGGCCTCTCTGCTGTTTACGTAGAATTTTTTGGGTAATAGCTTTCCGTTACATTGTATGAGCGAAAAGGCTGTTGCGTATAACCGCTTATGTAAATATCGCCATCAAAATGGAAATGCCAACCGCCATTGTAATTTCCAACAACACAGGGAAGAGGCTACTAGTCATATAAAACATAGCAGTCATGTAAAACCAGCACAGTATTACCGTCTGGAATATCATGCCAGAGTCTCAGAAATTGTCAGTGTTCTGCAAATGTGATGCATTTTATTGTAGCTGTCGTGCTTCTGTTGTGTTTTCTGTAACCTCAGCCCTCGTCTCTGTCTGCATCTATAGTGTTGTACACGTATAGATGTGGTATTAATAGACAAATAGACAAATCGATGACAGTGTTGGAAATGTCTTTGCTTTTTCTGAATTCCTCATTGGTTTGCATAAAAGGCAACCCTAACATCCAATTTAAGCAACCAGTTAAGTGTACTGTCTGATAGTGTCGTAAAACAAGAGTTGTAACCTGTGTTTGAGAATATGTTCAGGCGTTGAAGCACTCCTGAATTGGGACAGCATGCATGTGTGAGTGTCTAATATCGGTTCCATGAGACCTTGAGTGGAGCAGGGCTCAAACAGATACCCAAAGACACGTCACAGTCATGGTGAATCATCTGACGTGGGCAGTCAGGCAGGGTGCATTTTTCTGCTTCTTCAACAGCATTATTTTTTTTTACACAAGGTCCTCTTCAGAGTGCTATGCCCAAAACAGCACAGTGTCTCTGAATCTCCATTCATGACTCCTTATCCAGACAGCCTGTGCTCTCTCTCCAAGGAACGCCGGTACATTTCCATCAGGGATGTGCAGAATTTATGAATTGTGCCCCATTCCATTCACGAACTGGACTTTGAATTGAATTGGCCGCACGGCGCAGGATGTTGAATTGGAATGAATGAATTGGAATGACAAGAAGAGTAATTAATTCATTTCAGTTCAGAGAAATTCAATGCAATCACATAACACATATCATTTAATCTAGCAAAATATAAAGAATTATATATTTACTTTCTCTATGGTAGGCATATATACTGAATATGTATAGTATAGCCTATATACAAGTGGATAAAGTGTACTTTATATTTGCATGATTGTAAGAGAAAAATTATGCATAACTTCTATCAATATACAGTACATTTGGTTTCTGTCAGCCCTCTAAGTCCTTTTCCATAGGCATATATTTATATACTTATATATTTTTTCTTTATATGTAATTGTATATGTGGTAGAGGTAGCTGGGGAGAGGAAGGTCTGGGTGCCTCTCCTGAAGCTGCTGCCCCCTCGACCCGAACCCCGGACAAGCGGCAGATGATGGATGGATGGATGGATGTAATTGTTTAGGTGTATTCGCATTTTCAAAGAATCTGCAGTAGCTTTTTAGTGTCCATGGATAGCATGGTGTACGACTGTAATCAAGAGTCAAATGTCTACCCAAAGTGGTCCAAGGAAGAGCAACCGGTGAACTTGCAATGGGGTCATGGGTGGCCAAGGCTCATTGATACACATAGAGAATGAAGGCTAACCTGTCTGGTCTGATCCCACAGGACAGCTACTGTAGCACAAATTGCTGAAATAGTTAATGCTGGCTATGATAGACGGGATAGAAAAGACAAGCCAGTGGAGGCAGTGTGATTTCTGTTCTGCTGGGAAACCTTGGGTCCTAGCATTCACGTGGACGTTACTTTGGCATGTACCACCTACCTAGACATTGTTGCAGACCAAGTACACCCCTTCATTGCAATGGTATTCCCCGATGGCGGTGGCCTCTTTCAGCTAAATAATGGATCCTGCCACATTACGAAAATTGTTCAGGAATAGATTGTGGAACTTAAAAAAGAGCTCAAGGTGTTAACTTTGGCCTCCAAATTCCTCAGATCTCAATCCAATCAAGCATCTGTGGAATGTCTTAGGCAAACAAGTCTGATCCATGTAGGTCCCACCTTGCAACTTACAGGACTTAAAGAATCTGTTGCTAATGTCTTGGTGCCAGATACCACAGGACACCTTCAGAGGTCTTGTGGAGTCCATGCCTCAGCGGGTCAGAGCTGTTTTGGTGGCACGAGGAGGACCTACATAATATTAGGCAGGTGGTTTTAATGTTATGGCTGATCTGTGACATCATGTGAAGCTTTGGCCACAAGTGAGTTTGACTTTCCATGTTGCAATAGAGTTTGGGATGCTTGGTTGGGCACTTATATCATTATAGCCAGAACTGCGATTTGGCGGGAGACACAGCTGGCCATGGTACACAAAATGACAGTTACTTATTCTACAGGCGCATTCTTTCATTGTGAATAACACACAGTTTTACAAAGATGATACAGTATATGCCATGTATAGAAACATATGTCATTCATATTGAAATATTAAGCTGTAGTGTTAAAAGCTGCATTCATGCTAGGTATGTGACTATATTTGAATTCAATTCCATTTTAATGCTACTTCCTTAAATTCAAATTTGAATTGCAGTTCTGCAATTCAGTTCAAATTCACAAACTGAATTGGAATTCCAGAGCCACTCTCAATTCACTTCTGAATGGTGCACTACCTTGACTTCTATGGGCGGCTTTTGACTTTAGTGATCTAAAACTCTTCACCAGCCCATGTGTGTATTTCACCTCATTGGGCAAAATGGAATTCTGGGTAAGTTGACTTCAGAAGCAGCCACCTGGGAATGGTTTCTCGAGCTTTTCTGGGTCAAGCATCGCTCTTTTCCCCCCAGACTGTGCCACCTGGTAGCCCACTTTCAGCACTTATCTCCTCCTGATATTCAAAACCATGACCAGCCCGTTACCTGAGCTGATTTTAAAAGCCCAGTTTCATCCTACTATGTGGACTGCTTAATCAACTCCTCAATGCTTCAAGTGCTCTCAGACTCATGTCTCCATTTGACTGATGATCAGGATCGATTTGGGCCGCCGTGCTGTTATGAAAGATCACAAATAGCAGGTTCCTGTCTGGGCAAGGGCCACTGGCTTGTAGCCGTGATAAGAAACAATATGCAAATTAAATATGCAAATTATGCATAAACCCTGTGCTCAGCATAAACATGCTTTAATGTAATCAATTATTGTTGGGCTGCTTTTAAATACTCTTTTTTTCTTTGTTTATATTCAGGGATACGTATATAAATGGTAAAGAAGTACGCGTTCAACTTTAACAGCGTTACACTGTCAATCCACAGTACTTATCTTATTGTGCATTTTAACTTTTATATGTTAATTTGTACTTCATCTGCGGTATAAAGGTAAAAATGCACAGTAATTTCTTGTCATAGCAACGCAAATGCACATAGAATACATACGCATTTGCGCTGTTACAACAATCGATTGCCGTGTATATCATTTGTAAAGGTGAAAGCGTACTTGCGTACCTGTTTACAGTTATACAAGTATAGTGTCCATTTTAATCTGTGCATGAAACGAGCGATAGCCGGCATGGTTTTGCGATCAAAGGGCTAAATGACGCTGAGCAAATGCTTGAGATTCAGGGTTAACCCCAGCCCAGCCTGGTCCAGTCCGGTCCACAACGGCATGGTCTCCTAATGAATCAGAGAGTAGGCAGGCACCAGGCGCAGAACACCACCGTCCCTGCCTCACATTAATAAGCCTCCATACCACGCAATTTGAATAAATTTGCATATATTTTTAAGTAACCCCCTCCCTTCGCTCTCCATCCCCATCAGGATCAGATATGCAGTCTGGAATGCATTGTTATAATTTGTCTCCCTAATGATGGTCACCTAGCAACTGGGAATGACAGATATTAATAAGCACACATGTTCCTATGGGCGATACATTCAGTTTAATTAGCTGTTGTTCCTGATCATAATAGCAGTTATAGTAACATAGCATGGGTTCTGAGAAAAAGGTCATATTCACATCAGATGAATATATGAGGTGTTGAGCAAAACACTCACCATTTTTATGCTCTGTGATCAGTGTAAGCTGTGTAGATGATGCAATAATAGCACACTATAGTGAACTTAACCCTTTCACGATGGCATGTCCCTCACTTCCATTCCTCCTACTTTGTCTTAAGTGTGGCATCCCGGACACCATTTAACAAAAGTACAATAACCGACAGATGCAGTCGATCATGTTTAATCCATTTTTTGCACATGGGATGGCCTCCCTTCGGTCGCAGGGCGATTCGGATGAGTGGCAGAGCTCGACTTTCACGCATTGTCTTATATCTCAAGCCCCACGTCGCTCCGCTGAGGCGTAAAGACTCACCTGAAGAGGCACCCAGCATGGGGCCAAGGCGGGATGTGGTGCTGAATTGGCACGCCGCAGCCTGGCACCATCCTTTGTGACTACAATAATAATGGCGGCCCTCCCGAGCTACAGACCCCCCCATCCATGAATAGCGACAAGGCTTCCCCCCTCAGTACAAGTGAAGCTAATGACCCGTGCTTGTGACAATTAAGGTTGTCATTCTGCCATATCTTTCCTTTCCTGTTCTGCAGCAGCCATTTCTGACAAGCATATTTTTTGACCATGAGCGGATCGTTTTTCGCATCTGGGTTTTTAATTATTTTCTCCTATGAATAATTCTGACCCCTGCCGTGTCTTTCCCTGATCTGCTTTTTCCTCTTTTTTTTTGTTCCCATCTCCCTCACTGGAGGGCAACGTTCCAGTTTCAAGGCAGATGTCATAAAATGCCAAGCAAGGGTTAAATCCCTCAGTGTTGCCATGGAGACAACGACAGGCCTTCTGTACTACTGACCTGACAGGAGACTATGAAGGGGGAGGAGAGTTTGGAGGGGGAAGGGGAGTGCCGGAGACGCACTCTCTCTCTCTATTGGCTGGAGAAAGTCACATGTTCCATTTTGGAATGCTAATGCTCTGTTTTTTTCCCTCTCTCTTCCACACCTCCTCTCCGCTTGGTCTATTCTGAGACTGTCGGATATAACGAGCCTCAGAAATGGTGTAGGATAACAGGAAAGGCGCAAGAAACCGAAACCAAGGAGATAGACAAGGCCTAGGCGAAAGGTAGGGAATTGAGAATTGTGTCTTTGTAAAGGGGGCATTAGGTCTCTGGCCTGCGTAGTCTTGTTGCTGCACGTCTGCCTGTGTTTGTATGCGTCTCTGTGTGTGTGTATATGCGAGCGTGTTAGCCTGGATGTGCTCTGGAGCTCTATAAACCTTCAGCATCTGCCTGACCAAATCGAGACCCCCCCCTCCACCCCTGCCCCAGTCATATGGCACACATGAGACACCCCTGAATGACCCCCTGGGAGCACACGGGACATATTTCCAAACTCTCAAAGGGTGGTGGGGAGGCAGCGGGAGGTGAGGAGCCGGAGCGATGGGGGACGGGGGGGTGGGGGGGGGTTGTGTTTGCTTGCCTGGTGCCTTAATTCATTTGCAAGCCAGTGAACTTCAGCCAATGCAGAAATTCTTCTGTTAGCGAGAGTGCATGCCGTTCACTCTGGGGGATGCGTTACCCTAGGAGACCTACAGGG